AAAAAAAAAGGTCGTCGCCGAAACAACGGGTAAGTGCCGCGAGGTCCCTGGTTTTAGTAACTAACTATTTAAATGGGTTTTGTGGAAACAAGCTAATATCTATATGATATATTAATGGCCTTCAATTATTCAATGTGATATAAAATGTCTGCAATTTTCCCTCTGAATAAGAAGAATCCTGAATGAAGGCGCAAAAACAAAAGCACTTAACACAGACTTGAATAGATGTATAAATATACGACTACAATGAAATTTCTTGTTGTCAACTAATTGCACTGTTTCAAAGCCTCGCCACTTCAATGAACATTCACTCACATATATACTCATATATTTATGCAGAGATAAGTTACACTTTTAATAGCAAGTAAAGGCTTTTAGTCTAAAACTTTGAATTTCAAATGTATATCCAAACGACTTTGCTAAAAAGCCATGCTATTATGTGGTTCTAGTAACTATTTTCAACTTTATACCGACAATCTTTTTGAAAATCTCTAGAAACATACATAATAAAATAATTTAATTGTCACTCAAAGCATCAAGCATGTGCTACCCATATATACATGTGAAAGAATTTCAAGGAAGCAGGATATACCAAAAATGCAGAAGTTTTTCCAAAAAAAAAAAAAATATTGCATAACCCAAGGCGCTGAACAAAAATTTCACTGCAAATGGCGTCAGCAAAATCAGAGCTGTGAAAGTGCAAGTGAGAAAATGAGCTGACAAGCTGCAGCTGCTTGCATTGGAAGCGCATGCCGCAAGTAAAATAAGCTCAACGCCTCGGTGACTCCTCTGACAAGTGAGGAGACGAAGGCAAAGCAAAGCAGCCAATCAACAGCCATAGCTCAGTTTACAGATTGTTGTCGGCTACTGACAGCAGACAGCTGCCTTAACGCTCGAGCGCTGCTCTATGTAAGCTGAATAAGCTTTTAAATTGGAAAAGTTTTTGGATGTTCTTGGCTAATCGACTTAAAAAAATGGGCAATGAAACATAGAAGCTAATAAATATTTTGAATGGCAATATGAAAATATGAAAACAATATCCGAGAAGGGCGTTTGATGGAGTGTCGAAAGATGGGCTTCTACAACGCAAGGCCAATTTTTAGACGACGTGTGTATTTTGTGAAAATTTTATACTTGGTATATAGTGGCTGCAAAATGCTAGACCAACTTCATCTTCTGCAATGACAACACGTATTGTTAGGAGACCGATCCGATGCGGCTCTGCATACGACTTCAACCACAACTTTAGTTTAGTTGGAGAACAGCTATATGGGTCGGTAACTCGATTAATATTTTTTGAAAAGAAAAAAGGGTGCTTAGATGATGTAAACGGTTCTACTTCTGAAGCGACAGTCAAAAAGTAGTAACCCATAAAAACGACTCCACGTGACAAAAGTGGCAAGGTGCTCGCTCCGAGGACTAAGCACCGTGAGACTACTTCACAACAATCCACCGAACAGTGGATTCTTTTATTCAGATTCAAGTTTCTGCCGACCGAAAAGGCATGGTTTTCTTCCGAAGGTGTGGTTTAGATCGAATACTTAGAGAAGTTCTAAACTACCACAGAGCAATACTAAGCTGAGTTATTGAGCCAAATCGATGCCGAATTACAAGAAAAATGACAATGACATATTAGACTACGAACTGTTACCACATCTACCGTATTTTCCATATTTAATCCCGTGTGATTTTTTTTATTTCCAAAGTTAAAAAAAATCACTCTTCCGAAAAAATTTAGAGGAAGGAAGCTGCCACCAATCAGTATGTGTGGTGCACTAAGGTCCACTCCAACCATGGCACTCAAGGCCATCCTGCACATATTGCCGTGGACATCGCCGGAAGGTGTATGGCTGAGAAAGCGGCCATCAGACTCAGAGAGTCTTAGTTCCTAAAAGAACATCCGATAATCCCCACTTTTTTCTTATAACTTTCTGCCGAACATGCAGCCGCCAATCCAAACTCTTCTCTACCCACTTACCGCCGAGGGAGTTGTCAGGAATAAGCCATTGGAGGAAAGGGGCAGCAAGCTTCTTCACGGATGGGTCAAAACTTGGGGGGAAGGTTGGTGGAGCGATCTACGGCCGGAAGCTCTCTATCAACTATAGCTTCAGAGTTTCTGACTATTGCAGTGTCTTCTAGGCCAAGGTTGCAGCCATTAAGGTAGCACTAGATTTGCTGCTTCGGAAGCCTCCTTCAGAGAAGAGACTAGTCAAATAGCAGAACGGCGATACTAGCCTTGAACTTCTTTGCCAAAGAGTGCCTAACCTCGCTATCAATAACTTCGAATGCCTTTATGATAACACTGCTGTAGATGCCATGCCACAGCGGAATAGCAGGAAACTCGGTGTTCCCGTATCCTCTTGTGGTCTACTACTAAATAGCTGGGCTTCGCGGAAGCTTGGTCAGCGCTGGGACACAATTGGTACATGCGCTCTCGCAAAGATCGATAGCAAAAGATCTAGTGATCTCTTTGCCTGCAGTAAAGCTAGGCTTGCCTTAGTAACGGAGCTTCCAATAGGCCATTGCTCAATTGGCGTATACGCAATAAGGCTGGGTCTCCTACCACACTCCATCTGCAGAAGCTGTATGTAAGAAGATGAGGTGAAAACATCGCAACACTTCCTTCTTGACTTTCCCGCGTTTGGGACACTTAGGTGCGTATACCTTCAGACATCCCACCGAGTTGGCGAGAATGCAAATTAAATGTCTGTGCAAGTTTGTATTGGCTACTGAGCGTTTTGGTAATTTATCGTTCGAACACAGTATTTTTTCTTTTCTATGGTGTCACAAAGGACTATATATATTAGTCCACGTGTTATCTTTGATCAGCCATCTAAACTTATCTAACCTAAGGTATTTGTGCATTCAAATGGGTTAAAGGAGTAACCGATGTGTAGGGTGTAGAGTAAACCGAAGGACAAGAATATCTAATCTGAAAATCTGCTAACCTATGATATTCCCATTACAATGTGCCTCTTACGTCATCTGTGATTATTGTAGAAGCGTAATCTCGATTATCTTGACTTGATATGCAAAAACAATTCTTGCAGGACACATGAATTAGCTGCTCAAAAACTAATCGAATCTGTATGCCACACTGAAACTGACACAACTGACATGTGGCCTCATATTTCCCTTTTATGTTTACCACAATTTCAAAAGTTGCTCTCCAACACACTACACGCACACCCATTCATGCATATATTATACCCATGCTATACCTTGCTATATTCCTTTATTTGCAGGTTATACTCGTTCTGAAGGCATTGGATATGTATGCATCCACGCATCTAACGGTTATTATTCAAATCATCTCACACGTACTGGCGTACACGAACTCCTGCATTAATCCAATACTCTATGCTTTCCTGTCGGAAAATTTTCGTAAAGCATTCCGCAAGGTGAGTGAGTGCCAGTAACGAGGGCAGAAAAACAAAAACATAAAAAACGCGACGAAAAAAACTAATAAAAAGAAATGACGAACAGGGAAATGCCATTTGATGCAAATTTCACATCTAATATAACGGCTTTTTTATTCTCTCTTTCTCTCTTTAACTCTACCCTCTCTTACATGCCTTGCTTTTTCATCCACAACTAACGGATTTGCATGCACAGGTGGTTTGGTGTGGCACACCGCCGCCGATAATCAACAACCAGCAGATCACCAAGACGACGCGCACAACCAACTGCAACGGTACTTCCAATGTGGAAATGTTATAAGCCAGCGATTGTGAGATGACGCGCAGCAGCAAGCAGACGAAGGCAAACCTAAAAACGTGCGGCTGTAACAGCATGCAGGCACATTTATGGCTGTGGCATGCCACAGGTGGTGGTGGCGCTGTGGTTGGTAGTGTTGCGAGTGATGGTCTTGAGCTACTGCTGCAGCTGCAATAAACCCGAGGTCGTTATTATCGCAACAAATTGATTGAAGGAATCTGCACACATACACACACATACACATATATACGCTTACATACATGCATGTGGGCACGTGTGCGCGCGTGAAATGCTTTTGATGTCAAGCATAGTCATGTACAGGTGGATTGGGGCTGGCATATGCTGCGAAATTTACACGCACGCATACATTTCCGCATTTGCATGTATGCTATATATAATATGTATGTGTTTTTACGTGTGCACGTATGCGTCGTATGCGCTGCAAAGCAGCCAAGCGGAATTGATTTATTTATTACATTTGCATGTGTGTGTTTATTCGAATAAGAATCAACTAAAAACTATTTCATATACACATATGTACAAATATATGTATATTGAGTTACATAATTATTTGTGCTTGCATATAGCATAAGCTAGTGATTTAACTATATCGTGTATTTAAGCGCTATAAGTGTGTACAACAGCGGCAAGGCCTTCCCAACGTCCCCCAACGAGCAACCAACGAATGCATGCTCCAATTATCGGTTTCTTAAATATTTTATTCCTATATTAAAAAACAATATAAAAATATAAAAATGTATAATGTTTAAATTACTTGTGCTAACAGCTTAGCTGTCGAACAAGTGTAGTGATAAAATGTATGCTTTGAAGCAAAGAAGAAATCTAAAACAGAAATACGAATTTGAGAGCGAATTCTCGATTGATAGACAAGCTAAAAATTTTTTAAAGATATAATTAAAAATTGTATTTTAATATCGTAAATATTTTACTTTAATTAAGTAAAAAATCATTTTTCATTTTATAGAAAATTTAAGACGCTAAAAACACACACACTACCAAAATTATTACAGTCTTTGTTTATATGTTTATGTAATAAAATTCGTCTTCGATTCGCAACATTTCTACTCGCTACTTTTAGCTTTGCTTGCTAATCACAAATTTCTAATTGAAAAACGCAACAAGTTAAATTCAATAAGATACCTCATTAAAAAGTATAATCTTCTGTTGTATCGCCACTCTTTTATACCAGTCAGGTTTTTACTTTATACTACTAGTTTGTTCCATTCGTCAATCTCCAAATAATGGTGAACTTAAGCGAGCTAACTGCGCAGCTAAAGTCTTAATTATAAGGTTGCGCAAAGCCAGCGGCCAACTCTGTCAATCTGGTATAGCTTTTAAAATGTTAGACGAATACTTCTGAAGGCTACAACTACTAAGTAATCGCTTCGAACTGGATAAAGTCTTATGTTCATATAGTGTTCGAAAGGTGAGATTTTAGACTTTATTTGACTAAAAGAAATTAAATTCGGGGAAGTTACATATGCTCAAAAATTAGTGAAAATAATGAAGAAATTCGCTATATTTTAAAATTTTTGTATAAAAAATGGAAGTTCGAGTAGCACAACAATGTTTCGCTCACTTCCGTTCTGGAGATTTCGATGTGAAAGATGCACCTCGCTTTGGTTGACCTGTCGTTGAAAAAGTCGATGAAATTATGGAAAAGCGTCACTTCGAACGGTTTTGAACCATTTAAAAAAGGCTGACTACAAAAAGAAGCTCGATGTTTGGGTACCATATGATTGTCTGTGAAAAATTTAATGGACCGAATTAACATCTGTGATTCTTTGCTGAAATAAAAAGAAATTGCACCATTTCTGAAGCAAATGGTAATAGGAGACGAAAAGTATATCAAGTACGACAATATTGTACGAAAAAGATCATGGTCTAAGTCGGGTGAAGCTCAACAAATGGTCGCAAAGCCAGAAATGATGGGATTGGAAAGGAAGCGTCCAATATGAGCTGCTCCAGCCTGGTGAAACGACTGATTCTACATTTTCCTGTCAACAACTGATGAGATTGAAGCAAGTAGTCGAAAAAAACGGCCAAAACTGATCAACTGAAAGGCTTCGACTTCCATCAGGACAACGATAGACCACACACATCTTTGATGACTTGGCAAAAAGTGGGAGAGCTTTGCTGGGAAGTTTTGATGCATCCAGCATATAGCCCTGACCTTGCACCATCGGACTACAAGAGATGCAGAACTACAAGAGAAGCCTGCGAAAATTACTTAAAATTTTTCGCCGAGAAACCACAACAGTTGTACACTGATGGAGTAATGTCTCTAACGGAAAAATTCCAAAAAGTGGTCGGCCAAAAAGTACATATTTGGTTCATTAAAGTTCATTATAAATATAAAAAAAAAAAAAAATAAGTTGAAGTTTGATTCGAAATTCGAAAAGGCTTTTTCTACTACCCAATATATAATCGAATCGAACGATCTGCAGTGCTCAAATTTTGGATTTTTCGATGAAGGGTCTGTTCGTAATAACAGAGGTTATGGAAAAGGACTGTATTTCAATTCACTGCAATATGCCATTGACCAAAATTGTGTACTCGGTGTACCCATAATTTAATGCTAACCATATGACATAAAGCTGAACATAATTTTATGGAATACATAAATACTTCAACTACTGCGAGACTTTGATTTCGAAAGTTGTTTTAAACTAAAATACAGTAGATTTAGATTATATAATTTTTATTTACATAGCCATTAGTTTTTAACACTTATTTTGGTGATTTGAAGTATTTTTAAATAAATTCCAAAAGTCCACTCAGACTGCCTCTGCAGGCCAGACTAATGAGCCCAAACCCGGTTTGTGTAAGCTCTCTGAGTACGGCCTAATATTTAAGTAGATCAATCATTTACTCACGAATTTTCGCTCGAGTTACAGAATGTTTAAATCAATCGACAACTTGCTCAGCAAAATTGATAAAACCTAAACAATATACAAAACAAATAATGACAAAGCGAGAATCCTAGTTGTTGATAGTTACTACTACTACTAATTGGTAGAAAAATAAGACATAACCTAAAATTTATATAATAACTTGTAATATTTAAATGTACTCTATAAAGTATACATGTATGATGTCTATGTAAGCATAATACGTAAGTACAAAAGAAACAAATACATTGCATCTGAAATGCAAATAAATACTATTGCGAGTGATAGCATAAAAGTCGCCTAGGCGATGGTATTTCATATTGCATTTTATTACGTTAGGGAAGTAAGTTGATAGTACTTAATATGTTTTGTAATTTTGTACGTTACGGTACTTGCGGACACAATTTGAAATATTAGAAAGCATGCGAATTGTTACGAAGCATTTTATGTAGTTGCAAAAAAAAAAAGAAAAAAAATAAACTATTGAAATGAAAATACTATATTCACACAAATAAGAGGAATATACCTCGAGAAACATAGAATTAAACCCCTGTGTATTTCATTACAAGATTATTTATATGTGAAAATACGAAATTTTAGCTTTTTAAAATGGTACAGAGATAGTTTTAGGTCGACTGTAAGGGGTTGTTACTTAG